AATCAACTATATATCAACAAAAATTGAGTTGATAGATTTTCAATCGATTACTAACGATTATTCTACTTATAATAGAACTTTTATTAAAAGTCGATGTTAATCTTGCCTTAGTGAATATCTTGTAAGCAAAATCTCGGTGAACACACAAGATATAGAAGTGTTAATAAGATTTCAAATAGTTGGGTACAAGAGACCTTTTCGATTTTTTTCTCATGTGCTGGAAACTACACATTTAAAGCAACTCATATGCTAAATGTATGGAAATCATACGAATGTGCATAATTGAAGGAATCAATTGAAATAAAATATTAAAAGCTTTTCTGCTCAAGATGGTAGAAAAAGCTCCATATTATTGAGAATATTTAAATCTATTTACATATATAGTTTCCATTTTCGTTCTACCTTTAATAGGCTTCATTATTTAAGCTCTGAAATTTTATTATGAGCCATATCGTTTTGAATACAAATGTGAAGAAAAAAAAAAAATGAAAACCATAATAAAATATAATTAAAATTAATATCATAGTTTTGAAAAATGATCGAAATCAATTGAGTATTACTATCGCTAGTTAGCAATAAGGATAGACTTCTGTTATTAATCTTCGTAGATGATAAGTTACCAGAAATGCAAAATTAAAGCACAATTTTTTTAAATTTATATATGGCTCGATAGAGCATCACGACCCGATCAAGGATATGTACTTGTTATTCGGAATAGATTTTCAGGCGAAAAGTTCATATTTGTTTTTCAGCAACTTATTTTTTCCTGAAAAAGTAGATAGTTGTTGATAATCCACGAATCATCATATTTTTTTGTTTTGTTTGAATTTCAAAAGTGTGTGCTTTACATTCAGCACCAAAAATTGAATCTTGTGAAGTTATTTATACATAACTTTCCTAGATTCAATTTTTCACGTTGAATCTGAAACATACACTTTTGAAATTTGAAAGAAACAAAAAATCGACTAGTTGTTTGTTATCGACAATTGACCTATTTTCGAGCAAATAAATAGGTCGTCGAATAAAAATTGCACTTATTCTTCTATAAATCTATTCCAAAAATAAATGAAACTATATATATATATATGCTTGAGCAGGTCGTGATGTTCTATATAATCATATATAAATAAAACGGAAAAAAAAACTCTGCTTTAATTTTGTACTGGTTGCACCTTAATGTTTTCCATCAAGTATTTCGTTTGTGAGTATTCTTACACGTGCTTGAACAACGATTCAAGTGTGTGAATAAAATTATTAAGTGATCGAACAAGAATTTAAAGTAATTGGGCCCACTAGAAGGCCTCAAATCTTGACTCAAGATGTTTCCACACCACATGACTCTTTTGCTCAAGATGCTCGAAAAATTCATGAATATCAGGAAAAAAATTCGAATAGAATAATTATATTATCTTTTACGAAGATCCATGATTGTGTTATCGTTAGAGATATTTAAGATCTTAATTCAATATCTTGTTCTTAGTTATCTCAATCGTCTGAAAAGTAGAATAGTAATCCAGTTTTAAAATTAAAATCTTTCTAGAATACTCAGAAGTAATTATTTCAGAAAGGATGTGGATTGAATTTGAACAAAAAATACACACGCATACCTACATCTCTACAAAAGAAAAAAACTACATTCAAGCATGAGTCATGTTTTAAAAAAAAAGAGAAGATCTATCAGAAGCATACAGTAAGCCAATCGAAAAAAATTTTATCATACTTTATAAAGTTTGATTTATTTCTTTTTTCTCCCTTATTTAAGCCCCCCCTCAGAAAAGATTTCTTACTTAAGATAGTTCTGTCGGGCTAATATTTTCAGGGATGAGTGGCCCTGGAGAGATACACTTTTGGTAAAAATTTCAGCTCGATTGGTCATACTAGACCGGATTTCCAGCTGATTCACAGATCATTTTTGGTCTTCAGGAGAATCGATATAACTTCGTCATAAGACGAGAAAGAGAGCTCGGGCTGGTTTCAAATAAAAGCCAATGTCAGTACGCAACTTTTATCCGAACAGAATTTTTATATTCCATATTGTTCATTTTTTATGAGCATTTTAGTGGAATGGCCTTAAAATTAGCATAGAAAATGATGATCCAACGACAGTAAATCCTTCTTTTCTCAGCCCAGGAACCAACTATAAAAAATCCGTTAGACAAAAGTTTACTCCCATTGAAACCTTTAAAACAAAAAAAAATATTGGTTATAGCTCCAGATAGAAGGGAAGAGTTCCAATTTTTTTGATTGAAAACTATGTTCTGAGAAAAACGCTAAAGAAGTTTTAGAAAGGAATTTTTTATTTAAATTCAAAAAAATTATAGTAAAATGGCATATTTCCAATATGTTTCCTTGGACTTTTTAAAAGCGCGTAACAGATACAGTCAGCTAACGCCATCTGATATGCTGGTTAATATAAAAATGTTCTATTCAATGATAATTCAAGTAGCAACACAGTTTTTCCAAAACTGAAAAACTTTCAAAAACCAAGAAAATTTCTCAAAGAATATGGTAGTGAAGTCAAAGTTTGATTTGCTAAGTCCTTGAAAATCGGGTCATTTTCCAAAAATCGATATATATATATTGTGAAAGAGGAAGCATCGCTGCATCTTCCTATGATGAAAATTCAATGTCGATATTTTTTTTTGAGAAATTCGATTTTCTAAGAGGAGGGGGCCCTTAAATTTTGAATTTTAGTAAATATATTAAATATACGTTAAGACTTTTTGACTATATAGATAAATCAATGATGTTTCTATTATTTTAGTCAAGATCTTGCGAAAATATAATTAGAACTATCTTTTTTTTTGTTAATCCCAAGACTTTAAGATATTTTTGACATGATGTTTCACTAGGGCGTCAATTAATTGAAATCTTAGTCGAAAAAAAATCACACTAATTGATTTTCAATCTATTACTGAAGATTATCACAATTTTAATCAGGTTTTCATCAAAAATTGACTTTAGTCTTGCCAATCGGGTATAAAAGAGGTGGCAGATATCAGTAAATTGTAATCAGATGCAGATTATTCGGATGAATATATATGAATGAAATAGGGATGATCTTTATCCTCACTGACACTATTTCGAACTCGAAGAAAACATCGGTCATTAGACAGTTTTTAGAATTGAACCGGTCAGCTGCGACTTCAGAAGCAATTCGACAGCATCTAACAGGGAATAACTTGTACTTAGATGAAAATGGAAACGATCATATCAATTTTTTATATACTGTATATCGCGGGCAAATCTAGACTGCTTATTTTTGTTTTTTTAAACTATAGATTATTGAGAGAGAATCTTCAGAATGAGAAAATAGTGCCTCTAAATAGTTCGAATAGTTTATAATTATTTGTAGTCTTGTTTTCATTATATTATGGAGCTAATCCATACTTTACAAGAATTAATTAATTTTACTGGAACTTTTCGTCTTTTTTTTACATCGAGAAGGTCCCTATTTAATTTTCGTTCATTTTATCGTTTACAAATCAGTAGAAAAGTAGAGAAAAATTTAATCTAACTCAAATCACGTATATGAGGACTTACGCCATGATAATTGTGAAATGAAATCCAAATTATAATCAATTATAACTTTGATTTTGTTTCATAAAAATCGGATTTTCAATTTTGATTACGCCCGTAGGGCTTAAAACTTTTAAGGAATTTTAACCCTTAAAATTTTTTATTGAGATAATATCTGCTGCTGAGACATGAATCTATCAATAAGTGAAGTATTTTTTATAAAATTCTTTCTCGTATCTCAAAGTACTTGCTTTGAAGTAGAAGAGCAGGATAATCTATTTTTGTGACTTTATCAATTAAGTATCAACCTATGACAATAGTCGCCAACTTCGTGTTTGAAACCTCTTCTTAATCGATTTTATGGACGAAATTAAGAACATTTTTTTTCATGTTGAAAAACAAAGAGAGTCTCTCTTTCTTCATTGGATAACAAGTGGTAACTACTCTGTAAAAAAAAACACTGTAATACTGAATGTTTTAGAATTCTAGATCTTAGTACTAATATCTGAACCTTTCAAAATTCTAGTTTAATCTGGTTCTGTCTAGAACATTTTTTAGGCTTGAGATAATGGCTCCACCCAGAGAAAAAAAACAAATAAGTAAACGTACTTTTTATTATTTATGCTATTTACTTCTTTTTCTTTTTTTACTTATTCAGCCTTCAAAACGGATATATATCAATCATTTGACCAATTCCTTTAAGTGTTTTCTCAAAATTTTTGAGTTAGATTTTTTATATTAGGGAAAACATATATTACGAAAATAAAGATTTTCTGTAATAGGTTTCTCGAAATTGTATACTTCATTACTTAGTCAAGTTTTCTCGATCTCAAAAGTCTTTGACCCAACTTTACAGAAAATTGCCACTTTCTGAAGAAAATCATACTTTAGTGAAAAAAATCAAGTGAATAATTTCGAGAAACTAATCATAAATTCGGATTCATAGATCCGGAAAGTTTTTGATCAAATTTTATAAAAGATCATGAATGTCCTTCGATCAACATTCCTGACGAACGAATCAAACCCACGATTTTTCTTACACTATTGCCGCGTCACTGACAACGAATCGTTGTCAGCTATTTAGTGGCACAGGTGGAATGAGTGCTTGTGAGTCTTCATTTTATCTTCACACTCTAAAGTCGAAGTGAAAAATAAACGGATTTATCTAATTTACTTGACATTCACCAAAAATAACTACACGTATAATATATGGTTTTATTCATGATCTTAACATCAGGAAATGTTTTGCTCTAAGAATTTGATAGAAAGAAAAAAAATGGTAATAGAACAAACTATGAAAGTCTAAGATAAACATAGAGTTTGATTTAGCCTGTGAAAAACATAGTTTTCCAATGTGAGAATATTATTTATCATTAATCGATTTATTAATAAATTCGATATCTTTGTTTGTTTGCTGAGTATTTGCTTCTAGATCATCTTCAACTTCTACCATCAAACTTTTTGATAGAGTAAATTGTAAGATGGATGCTCGTCGGCGGCGTGAATCAAAATATGAACGTCCAGTACGTGCTGACACCATGGGTAGTGCCGTGTACAATGCAAAAGATGCGCACAGTATGCATCAGTCATTGAATAGTGAATTCATGTTGTATCAACTTATTTTGAAACGTATACTAACCGAAAAAAATAAACAAGGATCAGCTGCAAGTGGCCTATACGAATATTTCAAACCCGAAGACGAAACTGACCAACGTACTATGATAGAATTCGATAAGACATACAAACCAAGTCAAGCTATTTTTTGGTACACACGTGAAAGTTGTATTTATCGTATGCTCAATAAAGCTTTACGAACACAAAATATCAGCCATTTATTGGGTTTCAGTGCTTTCGTTCGTGATCTATATAAGCAATTAGGACAAGAGCAAATACCATTCGTGAAAAAAATTAAAACACCAACAATGAAAGTTTATCGTGGACAATTTATCAGTAAAGATGAAGTTAATCGAATGAAATCTGGTATTGGTCAACTAATTGCTATGAATTCTTTTTTGTCTACGAGTACAAATCTAAATAAAGCCTTAGAATTTGCTACTTCTAGACCACCACCTATTGATACATTAACATCAATTTTACTTGAAATTACTGTTCAGATCGGATCGTCGAGTCGACCATATGCTGATATAAAACATTTAAGTGCATATCCAACTGAAGAAGAAATTCTTTTTACATTCGGTTCTGTTTTTCGTATTGATAATATTACTGAAGATAAAGAAAAAAAAGTCTGGCGAGCAAAATTCACTTTATGTAGTAATGATGATGCTGATTATCAAGAATTTATGCAAACATTAGTAAAAGATGTAAAAGGTAAAGATGATTTAGTATCACTCGGTCACTATTTACTTGAAATGGGAAAATTTGATGAAGCTGAAACACATTATCAAATCTTATTAGAAAATAATTTACTTACAAATGAATATGATAAAGCTACATGTCATCATGGACTTGCACGAGTAAATACAAAAAAAGGTGATTATGATTTAGGTTTAAGTAATATTAGTATTGCATTAAAATATTTATTCAAACAGAATATTGATAAAAATTTAGCTCTCATTGCAACATGTTACAATGATTATGCTTCAATATATTGTAAGAAAGGTAATTATTTAATGGCTTTTAGTTATTATGAAAAAGCATTATTGACAAAACATAACAATGTTACAATAACCTATGCTGGTATTGCTGAAATTCATGTTGTAATGGGCAATTATAGTCTAGCATTAGAATATCAATATAAACGTCTTGGACAACAAATGTTTGAATCACCTTCAGTTATTGCAAATACATATATTGATATTGGTAAAATTTATTCTCTAATGAGAAAACAACAGCTAGCATCGAATATGTTCAATCAAGCAGTTAGAATTCAATTGAGCGCACTCCATCCTGGCCATCCTGATCTTGGATATACATATAGTGCTGTTGGATTGATGTATTCCGAAATTGGTAATGAAAAAAAAGCATTTGAATTTATTCAAAAAGCATATCAATTACAATTAAAATCTTTACCGGATAATCATCCTGATTTTTTTGATACATATGCAAATTTGGGAAATTTATATTTAAAAAAAGGAGATTCAGATCAAGCATTAATTTATTTTAAAAAATTACTTGCTGCTCAAATTAAGACACTATCAGAAAAACATCCATCAGTTGCTGATACTTATTCACTTCTTGGAAAAGTTTTCTTAGAAAAATCTGATTATAAACAAGCATTATTTTATTATAAAAAATCACTTGATTGTCAATTGGAAAGAAAACGATTTGGAGATTCAATATTATCCGATATGTATAAAATTATAGCTAATATTCATTTAAAAGATCGTGATTTAGATCAAGCATTAGAATATTTTCATAAACTCTTAGATAATGATTTAGAAAGAAAAGTATTAGAAGATCAATCATTTATTGATACATACAAAACAATTGGAGATATTTATTGTGAAAAAGGTGATTTTCGTCAAGCATTATTCTTTTATTATCGTTTACTTGATTGTCAATTACAAGCAAGACCATTTCAAGATTCAGCTATAGTCGAAACATATACAATTATTGGAAAACTCTATATGCAAAAACCATTCGATCAAAGTTTACTTCGTTTTGATAAATCTGTTGATGAATTAAAAGAATTGGAAAATGCATCTTTACTCTACGATCATATTGTTGTTGGCGATATTCATTTTGAAAAACGACATTTGGATCAAGCATATACTTATTTTAAACAATTACTTGAAATTCAATTGAAAAAAACTCCTGTTGATCGTCAAGAAGTAATTGATACATATCAAATTCTCGGAAATATTTGCACAGATAGACATGATTTCCAACAAGCATTATCCTATCTTCATGAATTAGTAAAAAATGAATTAGAAAGAAAATCAGTTGATCATCCATCATTAGGTGCGACTTATAAATTCATAGGAAAAGTTTATTGTGAAAAAGGCAGTTTCGAAATAGGATTGAGTTATTTTAATCGACTACTTGATTCTCAATTAAAAATGAAACCATTGAACAATGCATTATTGATTGATTCATATCTAACAATCGGAAAAGTTTACTTGGTAAAACCATTTAATCAATCATTAGTACTTTTCAATGCATTGCTTGACAATACAATAGAAACACATGCATCGACAAATACATCATCAACTGAAGCTCTTACAAATAAGGGTGGTGCACGTTCCGAAGAACGACATCTAGATCGAGTGTTTAATTATTTTCAACAAATACTCAATAATCAACCGACAACACCATTACCAAGTGATTTACCATTAACGGATATATATAAAATTCTTGGAAATATGGCAATTGAAAGAAATGATTGGAATAATGCAGCACTCAATTATCATAAATTAATAGAAAATACACCAATAGAAAGTGAATCGTTAGCTAACATCTACAAAATTCTAGCAACAGTCTACTATAGTAAAAATGACTTGAATCAAGCCATAATCTACTATAATAAAGCTTTGGATAAGGAATTAGAACGAAAAGTAATTGAACATCCATCATTATCGGAAATTTATAAAATTATGGCATATATTTTCTATCAAAAACATGATTTACAAGAAGCACTTCACCATTATAATCGATTACTGGATTGTCAATATCGAGCAAGGCCATTCAAAGAATCATCTATATTCGAAACATATACAATGATTGGAAAGATTTATACGGAGAAGCCATTTGATCAAACTTTACTCCGTTTTCATCAATTAATTGGTAAACTTAAGGAAACAAGTTTATCGACCAATGCATCCCAAATGAACGATCATGCTATCGTCACTAATTATCATTTCGAAAAACGGAATTTAGATGAAGCAATGAAGTATTTTCAAAAAGTATATAAGACTCAGGTGAAAAACTTATCACCAAATGATCCGTCATTACGTGATATGTGTAAAATTCTTGCAAATATTTATATGGAAAGAAATGAAGCCGATCAAGCATTAAAATACTTTCGCAAGTTACTAAAAATTGAATACAAGAAAATGCCAATAAACGATCCATCTCTTATGAGTATCTACAGGGTCGTGGCACATATTTATGCAAGACAGAATAATTTTGATAAAGCAATACAATATGTCAATCGATTTATTGATTGTCTACTTGTACAAAAGGGACCGAGTGTTTTGTCTTTAGCAGATGCATACAAGATAATGGGAGATGTTTACTTGAATCGGCATCATTTGGGTCAAACGCAGCGTTCTCTCAGCAAATTATATGCAAATGAACCAGAAAGACTTCCATCAGTGAGTGATGTCTATAATGTTGTTCAAAATGTTCATATGGAGAAACGTCATTTGGATGGAGCAATCAAGTATTTTATAGAATTGCTTTTCAGTCAACGAAACAAGTTATCAAAACAGGATCCATCAATAATCAGGCTGCAAAAAATTATCGGAAATATGTATTTGAACAAACGTGATTTTTATCAAGCATTATCATTTTTTCAAGAATTACTTGTTGATCAACTTCGCAGCAATCCATTTGGAGACTTGGCTTTAGCCAATATCTATGAAATTATCGGACATATATATACTGAGCTTATCATGCCTGATCTAGCTCTGGAAAATTATAGACAATCTCTATCAATCTACGAACGAATGGGTACGTCGAACAATGGTGCAATTAAAAAAATCAAGAGTGAAATGCGCAAGCTTCTCGTATCTGATGACACACTATAATGCAAAAAACTTTCACTTGCTTGTAGATAGCACCACGGTGCTAATACGGACACCACCTCTACCGCTGACTTTCCTTTTCTCTTTATCCTTTTTTTATTCCTCGTTTCTCTGCTGATCTCTCTATTACTCTATCGTATACAAGCGTGTGTTTTAATGAAAATAATTACATTCTAGAAATATGAAGTAGCTCAATAAGCATAATTACCGAGGGTGGCGGTAAGCTACTTCTTCAGTTTTTCTTTACAATTATAATTTCCTATTTCTTTGCAGCTTCGAATGGCATGAGAACAATATTTCAACCATGAAATACTAGAAAAAAAAAGTAGAGTTGCTTACTTGGTTCTACCTTATCCTCGAGCTACTTGAAACAGAACTTGATAGTTGCATACAATATATTAAATTTTAGGCGAAACCATAAAAAGACAGCATTAGACATGTTCTCTCGTAGTGATGTATCCAAGTGTATCATGCAGTGATCAAGATTAGATGGAGTTCGATCGAGTTGAAGTGCGAAGTGGCGCGTAGCGAACAGAGACGATCATCCATGAAATATCTTCATGCCAATGACAAAATGCAAAAAAAAATAGAATTTCATCTCCGTTAAAGAAAAAGAAAATTTTCCGGCATTTGCGCGAGGTTACCTTTACAACTGCCCTTGCTTCCTTCAATAATGGTATCAAAAAGCATTAAGCCCTTTCACTGAAGATACTTAGGACTGACCAAAAGTTCTGCCATCATCAAATAAAAATACAAAGAGAATTGGATACTTCGAATTTTATTTCATCAAATGATGGCGAAACTTTTGATCAATCCTAAGTAAAATAATGCGAAAATAATTGGATTAAAAATATAACTAATTCTTGTTTTGTTTGATGCTAAATGAATTATGATAATGAAAGATCTTAAATAGGTCGAATCAACCAATTATTTTACGATTAGAATATTAATGAAGATATGAAAATATGGTGTTGTGAAATACATACCGAACTCTTGAAATCCAAGTGATGCTATAGATTACAAAAAGAAAAGATTCGAAAGAACAACTAATAGAGACTTACATGTTAAAGCTTTTGAAAGACACTTGAAGTCATTGAACGACTTATGAACTTATGCAGTCCGCAATTTTCTTCTCGGAAATTAGTTGATGGTAAAGTCAATTCAAAGACTAAGCTCGTATTGAATGACTCTAAGCGTCCATGTGTTATGAGAAGAATGTAAAAAAACTTTCATGGTCTTACTCATACAAGATGGATCAGTAAAACATGTTTCTTCAGGAATGACTTCTGAAAAACAAAAACTTTCTTGATTTATAATAGTATGAAGTACACAAATGCTGTATGCATTATATGTTAAATGGTCTTGTGATGTTGAAAAACGAGAGTATTCGATAAAAAACAGCAGCATACTCTGATGTTTTTTGGCAACATTTATGAACGCTTAATATATTCTTCTTAAAGTTAGAAATACAAAATTCTCTGGAATATTTGTAGATCCATATCGACATGCACGCTTCAACCATATGTAGATTTATAAGACGTTTATTATATACAATGTAACTAGAGAAATGGAAAACAAATGATCGTTTATTCATTGTTGTCATCGTCGTCGTTCTTCGTTGCTATGTGTAACGACGGGAAAAGTGTGAACTTGATTGACAGTAAGATGTCATCGACGATTGATGCACACATTTGTTTTCTCATAAATTTCGAGTAATACAACAATGTTTGAAATAGGAGTTCCCAACACGACAAGATATATGAAATTGGCCAAAACAAGACTTGATTGAAGTTCTAATACAATATCTGGTAGTGACTTATTCATATTACTGATTAGAAAAACAGTATATACAGGTAAAAAGACGACAAAATGCAGTATCGAAACAACCAAGAGTTGTATAACCATGCGTCTATTTTTTCTCCATACATTTTTCTGCAACATTCGCTGTTTCTGATGCAAAACTCTCAGAATGACAAGAGTATTGAAGTCAATACTAATTATTATAGGCAAGAAGATGGCATAAACTATATCAAATGTACCCATAAACAGTTGCCACTCATAACATGAACCACCGCATAATTGATAAGTATAAGTAAACTTTTCAGTGCATGAATACAACAGGACTCTGCCACATGAATAACTTACTGTCATCATTAGGAGTAGAATCATCGGTAGATAGTGTTTGATAATCTTATGGCTATACGAATAGTTATAATGACATACAATGCTTGAATATTGTCTTACTTACCGAGACAAAAGTTGTGATGAAAAATTAGTAGATAACGTTCGACGGCCAGATGGGCATTGTAATACAAAGAAGACATAGTGAGAGTATAGTTCAAGTAAATCCAAAATTTGCAAAAATTATATATAGAAGATAGTACTTCGCCTTTTGAAAAGTATATAAGTGACATGGGTAGTTTACAGGTAATCTAGATTCGAAATAAATTGTACTGCTAAACATTTCTCCTAGGGAAATACCGTAGAATGATACAACCGATTCGAGTTGATATGCCGATTAGAAGAGGCAAAAATTTCTAATGAAGCCTAATCAGTTCAAATGAACAAATTTCCACATAGTTCGTATTTCTAGATATCAATAGTTCATAGAATTATTCGAAACTGATAATAAGCCTATAGGGCCACTTTCATGCATTTTGTTGTGTTACTAATAGAATGGAACAGAAGACAGTCGAGTACGAGAAGCGAAATCCAAGACTATGCTGACACAGTGAAAAAGGGTACCCAATATAATAGACTGTCTTTCGGCTACATTTATATATAGAGTGTTTTCCAGAGAATTTTTATAATTTATTATCGTTTCCTTAGTTAGCTTTTTGATAAAAATGCAGGCGCCTCCTGTATATATTATGGTCTCGAAAGGCTCATATAAATCGGATCTAATTTGGAAATTTTCTAAGAATTGAAACTATCGTTTTCCAGGTCTGGACCAAAAATGATGACCTCGTAAATTACAAAGTGTATGAGACAGGGTGAGCCCAACAGGATAGGAATCAAAAGAATTGAGCTTGTCTCACGAGATTAAAGTTTTACAAGCCTCATCAAGCAGACTAGAACTATTAGTTTGAACCATCTTCTGACTATCTTGTATTTTCTGAATTTTTCAACGTAAAGAACTATAATAGTTACCTAGTGGTCAAAAATTTGCGACTTTTGGATGTGTGTTTCAGAAAGAATAAAGTTAAAATTAACTTTTTTCAAAATTTCACTCTGTTGTTGAACACAAAATCTTTTTACTAAAATGGCTGCGACAAGGCTGAGATCTTTCGTTAAGTTCCTGTTTTGTTTATCGAAATTCTATTTTGAGGTAATTTAAATATCATATTTGAAATACACATGTAAAATTGTGTGGACTGGTATGTGTTTCACACTGAAAATTGTGGATCGCGTCGGAGCGAAGAGTGAGAAAAACTAAAAATGTTCAGGTATCATCGATGTCTACGCTATTCGATGCTGTCTTTTATACGCATTCCGAATATGATATTTATATTAATTAAAAATCAACTTTTGATAAAGTAAACAGAGATTTAATGACAAAACCTCGGTCATTTCGACGCTATTTTTGTCAGAAGCCCCTTTTCTTAGCAATACGGGAGAATTCTGAAAAAAGCTAATTCGCGGCTTTGTTCTGCCCTAAATGATGAATCTAATGATGTCAGAATGAATGAATTACCTAATTACTCAAAAAACCAGGTATTTTTACACGATGACTGATACTGGTTTATCGCAATAGCTCATACATGCACTCCTGTCGAGTATGCATATAAGTGTAGAAGTGTCTTTCAAATCCTTTCAAACCGATTTTCGATACTCACTAAGATAGTACTAATTGAATTGTTCAAACTAAAACTTCCCGTGGAAAAATTTTTTCGTATAGTCTTTTATTTAGTGAAAGAATTTAAAATTTTCATGTAAACTCAAAATCTAGTCATATATTTCAATGCCTTTGTAGCTTTTTTCTCATAAGCAGATCTAAATAGAAAAAATCGCACCTGTCTATAGCCGTTAATGCGACACATTCAATAAGCCCTAGGACTACTCATACTCATCTATAATAGAACAAAAAAGTATCGTGACAATCAGAAAAAAAATACTAAAAAAGTGTTTGCGTCCAGTCACTAGGTAGAATTTACTATATTTTCACAAAATAATCGAATTTATCAAGGCAATTTGAAAACAAGAAGAAAAGCAATAGCTGATAAAAATCTTAATAGATTTGATTTGAAAAACATATGCAATATTTCACTTTTGAGTAGTATAGGTTCTAACATAAAATTGGAATAAATAGCTTTTTTTTTGAGAAGTCCAACTCAAAATCTCTCAAATTTTTTAAATAATTCTCTGGATAAATCGATTGATGTTATTCATTTACCTCAACATGAAGTACGTAAATGTATACATTGCCATTTATCAAAAAAAAATAAAGCATATTGTTCCGATAAGAATCGGCGCAGTGCAACACAAAGGTATAAAGTAAGATAATTGCTATACATATATGTGGCAGAATCTACTCAGTCTGTGACAAGTATAGCTGAAATACAAACTTGTGAAGTCAAATATGCAAAAGGCGTGTGAAAATATGAACCAGATGCCTTCACTTCATCAGCGTTAGTCTTCTGATCGTTATAGTTTTATCATTCTACACATTTCCTAATTTTGATATTTACGTGAACAAAATTAATTAAAATGATAATCAGAATAATATGATTGTTCATGCGAGTTCGCAGGTCAGGTATTCGAAAAATCCAATAAAATAGATAAATCGAGCAAGCGACAGATGGAATGAGAAGTGTGCTCAACATGATGAACCAAACTTTTCGACTCAACGTAACGTTCACATACATCGATTGAACGACGTTGGAACTGTTACTTGATATGAAACTCATTTGGTTTAAAATTATCTTTTGTAATCTAGAAAAAATGCTTAAGAAATGTATTTTCTTATAGTTTCATTGAAAGAAAAGAAATCTTGTCTAGTGTTC